TTATAAGAATAATAATTTTAGTTGTAGTATATATATAGTTTTTTTTAGCTGTAAACTGAAATCATTTTTTTAGCGAGAGTAAACTGGAATTATTAACATTGAGATTAGTACCTGATATAATGTAATAATGTTTCTGTAAGCAACGGAAAAGGGTCGGAAGTGAGAAGCCTGACATGCATCTTCCCTCCACGACTCCACGTAGACGTCTGTGAGATTGTGGTAGGATCACGTGGACCCACACCTTCCTTGCATGATGTGGGGGCCCCCTGTCTGCATTGCCCGATCATCGGGCAGTGGTATTTTTTTTCTCTTTGAACGACAGAAAACTAAAATTATTAAGGCAAATAATACGACATAATCTTATGGAAAACAACGTAGACGTAATTTAGTTGAATAATTTTTATTGAAAAAAATAGGTGATCTGTTTTTTTTTTTTTTTTAAATATATATGTCTATGTTAACTTTTTAATATTAAAAAATTATATTAAATTTTAACTAATTTAAAAACAAATTATATTCGATTTTAAAACTTGAAACTTCATTTAGAAAAAATTAAGTTTTTTTCACTTTTGATGGTGTTTCAATTATGTCCTATATGCATACTGACATGTCCTTGAATGTCTACTGGTTTCATTTAAAATAAATAAAGATGGTAGGTTTCGTTAATTAATCAATTAGTTGGAGAATCAAAGGAAAAAGTGATTGGATATGTACAACAATTTCTTTTCTTTGATATTAATTCTCTACTACTAGCTAGTTTCTTCCACACAACTTCATACCCATGTGATTAGAAATCAATCGCAGTAATCAATGCCGAAATTAACGGAACATTAAGACTCAACACCGTTTAGAAGCATGTTTTCACCATGGTTTAGGATTTTGGACTTCATGTTTTTGTTTGGGGTCACTTCTTCACGCGGTTTTAACTGTTGAATGCATCCGTGACCATGACCATGAAAAACCTAGGGCTAATCATGCAAATTAGCCCTTGAACATGTCAAGAGGTGGCAAAAAAGCACCTCAGCTGAAATCAGTAGCAAATGACCCCGTAAACTCATGACTGGTGGCAAATCAACCTTTATTTAACAGTCATGTCAATATTCCGTTAAAAATTAACGGTTATTTAGTGTGAATGGATTTCACAACTTAAATGCAATGTGGCCGATCGAAGTCTAACATGTCTCCCCATGTCATTAAATCATTAATATTTTTTAATTTTTTTAAAATTTTTTTGTCAAAGTAAAAAACCCTAAACTTGAATAACAATGATTTGATGGACCTACATGATTGTAGGTTACATCAGTTGCAATGTAAGCAGGGGAGGAGTACCTGAAAGAAAAGATCGTAGGGTAAGAAGAAATTTATCATAACAAACATGCACCTTCGCGACAAAAATTGAGGATCATATGACATACCCATAAAAGGGAATGGGCTGGTGATGATGCTGATGGTGAAAGGGGGCCGCCGGTGTTCCAGCAGGATAGTACCACTGGATTTGACCGGTAGTTGCTGGTGACATGGACCTCGTTCCCAAATTTGATCCTTCATGATTGAATTTCCTAAATTAGACCTAAAAGATGCTATATATATATAAGCTGCCACTATTATTCAGAGATACATGGGTATACCTTGTTGAGGAGGAGGAGGAGGAGGAGTTGCGGAGGACCTGGGGCGGCGAGCACCGAGAGAAGCAAGGTTACAGTTGGCGCGGCGACCGTTGATGGTGGGGGTGGCGTCCTCACAAGCCCTCTTCGCCGCTTCAGCGTCCTTAAATGTAACCTACATATTAATCCCGAAAACCATCAAGTTATTATCATGTTTTTCATTTTTGAAACGTTGACGCCATTTTGTGACGCCGAACCACTAGTAACAAAAGGATGTATGCATACAAATCCGTAGCCCTTGGATCTTCCGGTGAGTTTATCGGAGATAATGACGGCCTCGAGGATCTCACCGTACTTCTCAAAATGCTCTCTCATGGCCTCCTTGGGCGTCTCCCATGCCAGGCCACCGACGAAGACTTTCGTCAGTGTGGTGTCGCCGAACTGCCCAATATTGTTACTCATCGTCATTATTGCCGTTTGTGACCTAGCAACCTCGACAAACCTAGTCCAGAAAACAGCTAGCCCCGATGAACACTTGTATGTGAGAGTATGCAATATTAAGGGTGGGGTTTTGTGAAGAGAGAGATTGAGAAACCAGAGAAAGGAAGGGGGAAGACAGAGAGAGAACAGGAGGGAGATGTAAGATATAAGGGAGAAAGGAGTGGGGGAAGGGAAGATTGATAAAAGAAATGGAGAAAAATAGAGGGACAGAGGGGCAGACAGATTGGCAATTTGCTTATTGCCATTATCAATGTGATCACACGCACACATTCATTTGCATCTCTGCCTTTCAATAGCCTCTTTTTTGTCTCTTTTTTTCTTATTTCTTTTTTTTTTTTTTTAAGTTTTTATAGTATGATGATATATATATATATGTGCTAATTTGCCTGTTAAGGCAAACATTTATATATAGATATCAGTAAACGTGAAAGACTAGTTTTCAAAATTCGATATAACATTTGAAGTATAAATATTATTTGTTTTTCTAACAACATCCACTATACCATTTAATGAAATTGGAACATGAATATGATGACAAAATTGTATTTTTATTTGTGTTTGTTTTAGAGTTTAGAAGATAACAATTATTTATTTATTTCAATTAAATATTTTAAATTATAAACAATTATATATTAATTAATATCACTTAATAACTATATCTAAATAATTGTCCCGCACTCGTGGCCAAATGGCCACCCTCTTGTAAGGGAGGACTACTAGGACTTGGGATCAATCCCAAGTCCCCCCCATTCCCCCTTCCTCCAAGAAAAAAGATTTCACACTATTCAAAAAAAAAAAAACTATATCTAAATAATTAATTCAAACATATGAATATGTGATGAATTACTTTTCAAATTTCTATCAATAACTAGAAAAGGAACTCTCTTTTACCAACTGGACCATCTCAATATATGGTTACTTTTAATTAATTTCTTCTAGGTAGTCTAAAAAGGTATATATAGTGAGCTATGCATAATTAATTTGTGTAGCACGTATTTATGTCACGTTTGAGTTGGTATGTCCTATACTCCTATACATGTTCTACATCCATTTATCATGAAGAGTAAGAACTTTTTCATCTTAATCTTTTA